AAAAAAAAAAAAAACTATATGATCTGGTCACTGACAAAAACAACCCCCATTTGCATGAATTCATTGAGATGTACAACCTGAATGAGCAGGTGAAATCTATCAAAGAATTTGGTGACCATGTAACCAACTTGCCCTGACCATATAGAAACAAAATATTTTCTATTCACACAGAAAATATTTGACCAACTGTTAAATCTTTCTTTTCTCTTACCTTTCCCATGTTTTATTTTGTTTTAGTTTGTTCGTTTGAATCAAATTTATTTGAAAGAATGATACAAATCAAAGAACTTAAGTGGATATTCTAGTAAAACTTACAGAGAAAAGTTAAGGTAACCCCAAAATGCATGCATTGCCTTGGTGACCAGGGAAGTCACCCCCATGGCTATGGGAAAGTCAGCTTAGCTTTTGTCATTACTGTCTCCCAAAATGTGCTTGCTGAAGAGGTACTCTGCCTTGCCAGATTCTATTGTGCATGCTCAGGCTACATGACTTGCACTTTTTAGTTCTATAACATGTAAAAGGTAACTTGACATTTTGTTGTCAACAGAGTAGGCCCAGTTTGAGCTGGTCCCATGGTTATGAGACATTTCTGGTTCCAATTTCATTAGAAATTTGTGGATTCTTTATAAAATGTTTCTTGGATTATGCTCCCCATTCCCGGGTCCCAAACACAGACACAGTCTTTGAGGGGATTAAGATAATACACTGCTGACGATTAAGATATAGGGCTAAAGCACAGAGAACCTACGTAGCCTTTCTTCTCATGGTCAGACTCTCCATAAGCCAAAGTCTCAAGTGAGATCCCGGCACAGGCTGGATTCACAGTGAACTCACAATTCAATTCTTGGATAAGAGCCTCAAGAGTATATTTTCTACAGTATAAACGAAAGAGGAATTCATATTTAAATAGCAGATGTATAGGCAAAAGAGCTAACACTGTGTTGCAAAACCATAGGAGTCTGAATTATACTCTTACCAGAGTGGCTACAAGAAGGCAGCCATGAGGGAGCTTCCAGATTGAATAAAACATTTTTCTCAAGAAAAGAACTTTAAATATAACATTTTGGGCTAAATTCTCAAGAATTCTGTGCCTAAGAAATGTTTACCAGCTGCTTTAATCACAAAAATTGCCTGGGCTGTTCAGAATATGTGAAATGAAACTATAGATTAAAATGAGTGAGCTATAAATTATAACCTCGGAAAAGAGGAAGAGTTCAGGTAAATGGGGCCGGGCGCGGTGGCTCACGCCTCTAATCCTAGCACTCTGGGAGGCCGAGG